ATGGGCTGGATTAATGACGTAGTGTTGGGAGGAAAGAAGACCACTTTTATGTTGGGGTGACGATCCATAAGTAGGGGCGAGTGTCCTGGTGCGTTGTCAAGCAGCAACAAAATCTTGAATGGAACATTTTTTTGCTCGCAGAATTTCTTCACGTCGGGAATGAAACAGTCATCAAACCAGGAGAGTGACAGAGCAGAGAACATCCACGCCTTGCGTGCGGTCAGCCAGTGGACATTAATCTTGCTCATGTCCACGTTCTTGTTGGCGTGCGGCTTGCGGGCTGTGTGAATCACCGATAACTTTGGTTTACAGGTACCGGAGGCATTGGTGGTAAAGAGGACGGTGATGCGCTCCTTCTGCAACTTCCGACCCCGAACCTTGCTGGCAGACTGGACAACAAAGGTCTTGGTAGGCAGCTTTTTCCAAAAAAGGCCGGATTCGTCCATGTTAACACCTGGTCGTCAGTGAACTGCCCTTCCTCCATAACCTCACGTAAGAACGGAGGAAAATCTCCAGCCGCCACACGGTCAGCACTCGCTTCTTCACCACCAATGTTGATGTTGGTGATATTGTTCCTCCTCTTAAACCTATGCAGCCAACCAGAGGAAGCATTGAAGGGTTTGGGCTCTGCAATTCCTATCTTACGTGACACTGCTGCGTACAGTTCACGTGCATACTCTTGAACAGATCGCGTGTCCACCGCCATGTTGCGTCGCGCCTGACGAATCAAATAACTCGCCAGCAAATTTCCACCTTTAGCAGCACCTTGTTCTGGCAATACTTGATCATTGAGGCACCTGCAGACTTGTGATTCTCATGTGCTCTTTGATCTTGGCTGCATCCTTCTTAATAGTATGAATCGTAGATTCGTTCACTCCATGCTGGCACGCGAGATCAGCTTGACATGTTCCTTTCTGCAAATCTTGAATTATCTGGTATTTCACTTCGTAGCTTAGGGAACGGCGTATCTTCTTTGGCTTAGGGCGGCTGGGTCCAGGTAAGGAAAGGTTTCTCTCTGGTGGCGGTGGTCCGGCGGAAGCCATTACACAGAACAATGGATGCACGTATACACGGTGTGGCCTGGAGGGATGAAACTGCCACGGTTAGGTCAAGCGTCGTCTTTCCTCCCTCCCTCCCGCGGGTGGACACGTCATATTACTTTAAACCAATTACAGCTAGCAGCGGAGGGAGGTAGGGATGCATGGCCAATCACAGTCCGATACGTCATATGATGTCACTGATAACGCAACAGAGACATGCACTGCACAACCTTACCGCGCGGCTTGCCCAGGTGGAGGCAGGAGCAGGCGGGAGGGGCGAATCTAAAAATAGCGTCGAGCCAGACACTCTGCGCGTATATGGGTAGATGAACCGCGGAAAGTGAAAGTTCGGTTCTGGCGAGGCACCGCGTAAATGAGAAATCGCGGAAAGTGAAACCACGTAAAGCGGGGTAATACTGTATTATTATTATTTCTTGTTTCCTCATGAGTCATAACTTACTTTGTACAACACACTTTTGGTATAGACCACAGCAAACTGTAAATATTCCTATGCTAAATGTTGTAAAATAGCTTCCTCATCGTCTGTGTTGTAAAAGTCATTATTAACCACCCAAAAATTTCAACACTTCTGGTGCACCAGTATGATGTACAAAGATATCAGAGCAACATTAAGCTTGACATAAGTGATGAAGTGACTCATTACTCAAAATTTCTGTTCAAGCAGATGAGTAGCAACCAGAGCAATGTATAGATTTTATCATCTTACTTTACTCTGAATTATGCTTTACACACAAATAAATCATTCTATTTTATTTGATTATAGAGTGCTAATAAACAAAATATTCCCTTACAAAATACAGTACAGCATATAGGTTTGTGGGGCCTTTGATTATTCAGTAATAAAAACAAACCAGGAGTTTAGAATTAGCAAACTCCTGTGGAATGTAAAATGAATATTGTAAAATCCTCCACATTCAGTTATGTGGAATGTTGGTGATGATGTCACTTCATTACAGTACTCATACACAAATAGATTTTGGCTTGTGCATTACCAATACTTCATATCCAAGTAATAAACAGATGTAATCAATACGTCATTGTAATCTGGTACCCAAATGTAACTTGGTATTTTCATATCATCTGGTACCTGACAGTCAGATAGTGACGAAGTACTACTGGAATTGCCAAGTGCTGGTTAGTTGTCAAATAACTCCTGAAGGTCACTTTGTATTTTCCTGTCATCTGGCATCTTTGTCATTTGCTACCTCAGTGTTAATAGGTATCTAAATATCTTGAAATCCTTAGTGTCACCTGGTACTTGTAAACTGTGTGATGCATAAGTCTATTATAATACATGATTGATAAATTTTGAGACCCTCTATAATCTGACACTGTCATAGATTGTCGACTCTCAATTGTCGAAGTGTCATCTAGTGCCAGAATATCATCTGGTACCTGAGTGTCATCTCATTCTTGAGTATCATCAGATACCTGAGTGCCATCTTGTAAATTTATATAATTAGTACCTGAAGATTGTCTGGTACCTGAGGATCATTTGGCACCTGAATGTGATTTGGTTCCTGATTGTCATGTGGTACAGTACCAGAGTGTCATTTCATACCAAAACATTATGCATTGCCTTTTACTTTTATCCTCTTCACCACTGATCAGCTCGTTAGCCGCTTGGGCACGTCTCTGTCACTTACTGTTGGCAAGTACTAGTCATGTACTGGCTCTCTGTTATGCACTGTTGGCAGGTACTGTTTGGTACTTAAAGTATACAGTACAGTACCTGTGGCACTGGGTACCTAATTATTATGTAGTACTCTGATGTTATCTGGTAACTGATTATGATGTGAAAATGATACATCTGTTTATCATTTAGTAATGGAATCCCTCTTTCTTCTATACCACTGGCTTACTGCTCACTTCACTATCATAATCAGCAGCTTTGTAGTTTGTGATGGCACTTTTATGCTTAGATGTTAAATGCTTTTCAGTTTGTTTTTATTTTTTAAAAAGTAGAATGCAAGTAAGGATTCATTTAATGTACAGTATTGTAATATTATTTTATATATATTCTCTATTTTTATCTTTTACTAAGTAACGAATATGATAATTGTTATTCACTGTAAACTTTCATATATACAGTAGAACCTCGGTTATCCAGAGTCCAGGTAACCGGCAGATTGAACGAACATTCACCAATATGAATAATAATAATAAAAAAAATTTTTTTCCAAAATTAGCTAGAATTGTAAATTTGAATATTGCACACAATGGGGATGAGCTGCCATATTTATTGATAAGATAAACTATAAAATTGAAACATAGCATATCATAAAAAATAATAACTGAAGCACATATTTTATGTGAAAAAAAAATAGCTCCTGGGTGACTCAACCCATTTCAGACAGGCAATCAACCATCTGTGCTGTGTATATGCCATGACATCATATCAGCAGAAGGGTGCATGGCAATGCAGTTACACATGTTCACGACATACACATATACACCCATGCTCCTCATTTTTCTTATTTTATAGTTTTATTGTATTTTCTTTAATTTTAAGCCACATGAGATTGGAATAAGTGTTAAAGAAGTCCATTTTTTGCGAGACACAAATTTGCGAGGTCAGCCTGTAGCTCTGCATTGTAGGATTTATTGGGAGATCCTAAAGTGATATTCAACTAAGCAGAAAGTCTCTTTATCCAGCGCCTCTCAATCCCCATAGGTACCGGATAACTAGGGTTCTGCTTTACTTAGTAGATACTTTAATCACATTTTATGATATATAAGTTTAAGTTTGTAATATATACACATTATATATATATATATATATATATATATATATATATATATATATATATATATATATATATATATATATATATATATATATATATATATATATATATATATATATATATATATATGCAAGTAAATCACTGTAGGTGCGCGTGATCTAGGTATATGCTGATAGCCACCAGGAAAGAAGAAAACACGAAGTTCCCAAGTGCTTTCGTGTAATTCACATCTTCAGGGGTGAGTACAGACTAAAGAGAAGTACAAAACAAGGTGTATATTTACAGTGGAGGGTGAGACCAGGTCCACAATGGTCAGGTATTAGGTAATGACCCTACTAATCTTTAAATAGCACCGCATGGTCGGTATTCAGGTCAAAGGGTAAGGTGACCCAACCTTCTCACCTGGTTATCTTCATTACAAAATTGTCCTACATCATTTAATTACAAAATTGTCCAGTTTGTACATGCCATTACTCAAATTCATGTTGAATGCTTCGGTATGTTTAATGAGACCTTGTAATTCAGTTGATAGTAGGAACATCATAGAATCTAGTCTCATTAGACATACCGAAGCATTCAACATGAATTTGAGTAATGGCATGTACAAACTGGACAATTTTGTAATTAAGAAGATATGTAACCAGGTGAGAAGGTTGGGTCACCTTACCCTCTGACCTGACTACCGACCGTTGCAGTGCTATTTAAAGATTAGTAGGGTCATTACCTAATACCTGACCATTGTGGACCTGGTCTCACCCTCCTCTGTATATATACACCTTGTTTTGTACTTCTCTTTAGTCTGTACTCACCCCTGAAGATGTGAATTACACGAAAGCGCTTGGGAACTTCGTGTTTTCTTCTTTCCTGGTGGTTATCAGCATATACACACACATATATATATATATATATATATATATATATATATATATATATATATATATATATATATATATATATATATATATATATATATATATATATATATATATATATATATATATATATATATACAGTATATATATTTATTATAGTTTTTGTTTATTAATTTATTTACTTTTGGTAACTAATTCTCTTTATTCAACCTGCCATTGTCCGCCCTGCTGCTTCACTTAACCTCAAACCAATATCCATCGACATTATTCTGGACTGGCTTTACAAAACCCCTTCCTGCTGGTTGGTGTTGGTGGAGCAGTGCTCAAATGTGTGTGGTCCTGGAATGGAAACACGGCAAGTTACCTGCCATGTTATCAATCACCTGGGATGGATTGACCCTCAACCTGTGACTCGAGGGTGCAATGAAAGCAAGAGGCCACGAAATACTCGCAAATGTAATCTTGGCCATTGTCAGTTGGGGTATTACTGGAAAGTCAAACCATGGAAAACTGTAAGTAGTTATAGGTTTTATACCTGTTTTATCAACTTTGTAATATCCTTTACTGAAAAACAGTGAACTGTATTATGGTACAGACTGTACAGTATGTAGAAACGGATTACGCATTGATGTTTATCATTGTACATTGCACAGTTACTTGTTCACAGTGGATTATATTAAGATGATAACCAGTCTACATAATAAATTCTGTTAATTCACCATTATTGTAATGCTGTTTCATGCTTTTGTTGTCACTGTAGTACAAAGTGGCAGATTCTTGGACTCTAAAACTGTAACCCTTCTCAAGTTAGTAGAGGTGTGGTTTACATCAATAGATGATTCTTTTTTTAATATGTTGAAAATTCCTACATTATAACTGTATTTGAAGAGAGATAAGTGTAGGTAAATGAAGTAAACCTTCACGGTCTTGGAATAATTGGGAGTAAAATCAGTTTGAAATCATCTGAAATTGGAGAGAAGTGTCCATGAGAAACCATTTTATTGACTGGTACAAGGCGACTTGTCCCCATGTACAAGTAAGAAACCAATTTCTCTTTCTTTATCTATTATCAACTGTATGATACAAATATTTATTAAAACTTGCCTCCCACCCTCCTCCAAAAGCAGGTAAAATGTTTGTAGTACAGTAATGATTTATTAGAATTCACATAGCTAAAGACTTATTCAGGGAGGTCAGCATCACTGTTCAGCTGATTTATATTTAGTTTGATTCATTTGAACTTAAGTACAGTAGTACTGTATTGTTAAAAGATCACTTCTCAAGACAATACAGTATTTGTTGGAACACCACTCTTGCCCCATGTTCAGGTGTATCTGTCGTTTTCCAATTTTATGAGATCCTTCCTACTAAAACTATGCACAGAAGGTTCACCAGAACCCATCCCTAGATTTCTAAAAGTATCAAAAAACCACAAACAAAGAGAATAATACAACATGTGGCAGATCAAAGATGACAAAAGAACTGTGTGTGGATAGCGAGGAAGGAATAAGTGCATACAGGGGACTAGGCTCATAGTGGTGGGGAAAGACTCTTCGTTATGTGCTACTCACATACCAGTAATAGGGCCACCATGATTTCACCCCATTCTTTGAAAATAGAAGTACGTACTGTATTGTTAAACAAATCAAATCCTCCATATAATTTTTTTTATTTCCCCCTAAAATCCAAAAAAAAAAAAGCTTATGTCCCAAATTGTGAAGGACTACAATTTAAATAAATGTTTGCAATAATATAGTGAAATAACATAATTTAGAAATGGCTTTAAATACCATAGTACCTGTAATTAGACATATACAGTAGTATATTGTAAAATGGTAAGAGCAGCACATCCATATTGACAGTGTATTTAAGCACATTTTCTTGTTTGTCAAAGAAATTAACCTTTAATAATGAATTCATTTAATGCAAAACTTTTTTTTTTATAAATCAGGGTATATAGTGTACTGTACACCTATAAGTCAACAAATGTTTTTGTGTTCAGTGTCAGGCAGCATGTGGCAAGCGAGGTAAACAGCGTCGAGGAATCATTTGTGTGAATGCAGAGAATCAGAGAATGTCGGGTCGTATGTGTTCAAGAGAACAACGTCCTCGCAAGAAGCAGAAATGTCGATCCCAACCTTGTGGGCATACCACATGCTCTGAGGTTAGTCCATGTACACATGTTCAGTACAGTACAGTATACAGTACAGCATATTAGATACAGCATTTTTTGTAAATTAATAATTACCTACCTATTCCATCCAGTAGTGTAGGGGCAAGAGACCGCTGTCACCTATTAATTATAGGGGATCTACTTCCTATAATACTTTACTTTACTTACTTTCTCCTGTCCCACTACTTCATCAATTACTGTACTTTCTGACTTAACTTCTGACCTGGAGTAGCATAACTCGAGGGTAAGACACGTGGGTAAATGTAATAATGGTACCAAGATAGAGGGAGAAATAATGGTGGGCACTGTAGGAAAATAATACCCCTAACATACAATAAAAATGGTTTATTAAAATAATGCTAGACTTCTGACTACTTCCAGTCATACATTAGTGCCAATATCAACTCCATGGCAAAACTCAGATACTTGTCAACAAGGTACCTTACATATTCCACAATCACCCGTACTTGGTGTACCTGTAGAAAACATACACTGTACACTGTAAATATACATAGAGTACACTTGGGATCCAACAACAACACAGAGAACCTGAGAGACTGCTCTCATTGATAGAACATGACCTGTAGCACTGGTATTCCACAAAAATATCTACTTTGCTACTCTGTTACATAGCCAAGAAAATGTGGTGGCCTTCACACACTGTTAACTCCAGACTCTCATACAATTAGAGATGACATACCAAAATACACGGGCGAAAATTATGACCCACGCACTACTCAGATGTGGACTCATACCAACAGCGACACTGCCTGAGCTGGTGTTGTTGTGTACGTTGCTGGATCGACCATAGGTGGACGGCGAATGCGTCTAGCGCACGTCCTTAGTAGCCGACTGGCTCACCGCATAACAGTGTTGGCGATGACCTTATTGACGTTCATCCATTTCCAAATACTAGTGTGGACGTCATCCCGGGGTCGACCTAACCAGCTTGGCCTACAGAAACCTGTGTACTGAAGGGGTCATGGCTTAGAGTGAGTTGACACGGATGTCATACATTTTAGCTAGGTTGAAGGCACATGAACACTACTTATAACACAACACAGCTACGTTAATGGCTCACTGCATATTCAGACAAAATACTAAGTTGCAACACTAAGGGGCAAGGTGGAACATGGACTACTAGACTTTACCTGTGTACGGAGTGTGGGTCGTCGCTTAGAGTGAGGTCAGGTTGTGGTCTAGAGAGACGGTCTCCAGCCAACGTCTCACACCCTCACGCCACCAAGCCGTAACTTAAAGATAATGCAACTACTTCCCTCACTCTATACAATGGCGTATGAAATAGGAACAGGACATTGTGGACATCCTGCATAGCATATCAATCAAACTCTCACTGTTTTTAATTTCTGGCATATTAAAAAAAAATCAAATCAACTCAACATGTGCACCATTAATGGACCATAACACATCCACCCGATGCTCCACTTCAATCCACATGTTGACCAAGGATCCTTCATCACTCGTCTGATGCCATTGATTATCCTTGTATGAAGTGTTTCAATATCAGCAACTGGGATTTGGGAAACATAATCCTTGACATACCCTAGCAAAAAGAAGTCTAAGGGCACAATATCTGGAGACCATGTGGGCCAGGAGATGGGCCTTATCACTTCCAATCCATCTGCCAGGGAAGTTACATAATTGCCCAGAATATCAAACATACACACTTGTGATATTCTTCTCAGTAAATAAAAATGGGCCTATCACCCCATTGTACAAGTCCACATCAAACATTAATTTTGGACTACCACAATATTGTGTTCACAAAGCTCATGAGGGTTTTCAGACCCTATACAGTATTTACACTTTGCACATTATGGCATTAAGCATGTCCAGATACATGAAAGATAGTTTCATCAGAGAACACCATTTTTAGGTACTCTTTATCTTTATCAGTCGAGTTCAACATGGAACATGCAAATTTATGGCAAGGAGGCTTGTCATTACATTATAATGTATAGCTTGGACTCTACAGCTGTACTGTATATGCCTTTGTATATTGTTGATCTTGGTAGCTGCAGTTCAATTGATATATGATGAATAGACATTTTAGGGCTGCATTAGAATGTGTCTAGGACATTAGCAGCAGTTTCTTCAGAAACACCGGGACATTTACTTCAAGACAAGTTTATCATACCTCATGTATCTCAAAACTTGTGGAACCACCTCCTAATGCTGGGTATGGAGGGAGGATCCTTTCAATATTGATGGTGGTAATTCCATTCAACAGTAGTCACTGCAAACCGGATGACGCATTGAGCTTTCTCCTGTGTAGTCATCATCTTCATTCAGGTTTCTATTGTCAGCAACTGAATATTCAGATTACAAACTGTAAATCAAGAAAAGGAAATTGCACTAGTTTAGTGATAATTCACATTTGGTCTCAGATAATGATTTTTCTTCATCCCATTGAGACATGTGATATGCCTCCTGACTATTGGGTTGATGTAGGTACAGTAGACCCTAGCCATTCGCGGGTTTGTGATTTGCGATTTCGATGATTCACGGTAAGCAGATGGTGGCTATGGTGGTTAGCATGCGAGCCTTTTCTGGCAGTGCAATGAGTCACCCCACGCAGCATCTCGTGTTGTTCTCTCAAAACTTTAGTGTTTCTTTGTGAAATGTTCCCTAAAAGACTGCCTAGTGTCAGAGTTTAGTGATGCTAGTGGAGTGAAATGTAAAAGGCAGAAGTCAGTGATGACCCTGACAAAGAAAGTTGAATCATTAGAGAAGTTAAAAGAGGAGATGAGTGCTGCCGTGGTTGGTCGGTTGTTTGGTATAGGTATACAGTAGTGCACTAAGGTAGTTGCTATTCGCAGTTTTGCCTATTCACACCATTCCTTGGAACCTAGCCCCCGCTAATAACAAGGGTTTACTGGACATCCTTTTGCATTTCCTGGCATTGAATCTTACCAGCCATTCCTTAAACCACAATTAAATCAGAGAGAGATCTTCTTGTAGCATTTCACAGTCCATTTGATTATTAATTTTCTTGAATAACTTAGCATTGTCCACAAACATTTGTGTCATGGATTGTTTAGCATCTGACTTATCATGTATGAAAAAATCAAACAAGTCACAATAGACTGCCTTGTGGTTACCACTTCTCATGGGTACACATGCTGATTTCATGCCATTAATCACCATACACTGCTTGCAGTCACGAATAAAGTCTCTGATCTACACGACGACGTTTTGCCAAATTTCATACCCAGCGTTTAATTTTCAGCTTTTCTTGAGGTACACTGTCAAAAGCCTTGGCAAAGTCCAGATATATATTGTCAGTACAGTAATATACATTGTTTAGTGCTCAGGATACGTTCCTGTATTATAGAGTGCCATCCAAAACAGCATTCTGAGGGGTCATTGTACCATTGCATATATGGAGAGGCGTTCCTGATGATGTTATTTTTATAGTATGAGATATACAGTATAATGTACAGAATTGTATCTAAAGGGTACAGGCATTAATATACACAGATTTACAGTATGCAGTGCATGTACAATCCTTCCCTCATGGAGGGAGAGGAGAGTGACAGCATCACAGTATCTGCTGGTGAGTACAGTACAATATATAGTGTATACAGTTGTATATTTTGTTTATTTACAATATACAGCATCCCCTTCAAATTCGTGGGAGTTAGGTTCTCAAAATGGCCCCGAATAGTCAAATCCGCAAATAACATTTGCTGACAAGGGGGGGGTGGGGGGTACATTTTTACTTGTGCTCAAAGAAATGTATACAGTGGTCCCTCGGTTAACGAGCACAATCCGTTCCAGCAGGTTGCTCGTTAACCGAAAAACTCGTTAACCGAAACCATTGTTTCAATGGGTTTTTGGGTAATTGGTTCCAGCTCACCGAAAATTGCCTAAATTCAACAAAAAAAGGTAGAAAAGTACACTTACATTGAGGTGTGTATGTAGAAGGTGCCTGGATGATGATGATGATGGGAATTAGAATGGGGGTGGAGGAGAAGGGATTGGGGTGGAAGAGAAGTCGCCCCATGGCGCCATTTCACCCATAAAATTTTAGTTCTCTTGGTGTAATTCAAGATATTTTTCTTTAAATCAACAATGCACTGCATTATATATTGTCAATATGTAAAATAAATTTCAAAATGACCAATAATTTGCTTGCAAACACAGAAAAAAAGTGTTTAGTTGAAGAGAGTCTCAAGCAAGATGTTACCTCCACCGAAAAGACAGAGACACTGGCGCCTGTTTGGTGCGTTGCCAGGCTGGATGACGCGCATGAAACTAGTTTCCTTACCTTCAATTATGTTCAATAATTGTTAAAATGGCTAAAAAATTTAATATTAAACTTTTAAAATTATTGAATAGTATAAACTTCTTGATATTTACTAAAATAGTAAGGAATTTAAGCGCTAAAACCGATTACTGTATTGATGGACTAATACTACAGCTGGTGGACCGCCAAATGCAAGCGAAAACATGTTGAAGTCGGCTCTTAAAAAACTCATTAATTGAGGGATTGCTCGTTAACCACACACACACACACACACACACACACACACACACACACACACACACACACACACATATACACAATACTGTACAGGTAAAGGAAATTATTGTCTCTAGGACGAATGGCTCCCTGTCCCAGCCACAAAAACGATGGCAACTTTAAAACTATCCACAGACATTCTTGGGTACATCCAGGGTGTCATCCGCGAAATAAAAATCCGCAAATTATCCGGGCATACTGTATTCTATGTGTACACACTGTATTATATAGTGGTGTTTGCATAAATTAATACAGCTCTCTGTCTGTCTGTTTGAAATGCATAGCTTAGACTCTCAGAAAACTTTCCCCAGTACTGTATGTGGAAAAATTCCAGAGATGTGCGATTTTTTTCTGGGGATAAGAAAATTTGCCTCCATACCCGGAAATTTCTCAATCCTGGAACCGCTCTGCACCAATTATTCCAGTTAATACAAGTGATACATGTGAATGAAATTATCACTCGTGTGAGGCTGTTTTTTGGATATGTACAGTAGATGTATTATTTTGTTCATACTGTGTACGTATAACAAACATTGTAACGTTAGTTTTTCTTTATTTTCCTATCACATACTGTACTGTACTTTATAACCTTATACCTCAATCTTGGTTGATATCTTTGTCCATAACAGGCAAGAACCTCCTTGTATGTGACTGTGGATGGAGAGTATTCTCTACTGGTGGGTGGATACAATATGAGTATCTTCTGCTTAGGAATGAACACCTCCAACCCCCAGGAATATCTAACACTACCTGCAGGAGAAGAAGGAAACTTTGCTGAGATTTACAATAAAATGTAAGTTTCCTATTTTGTTATAGAAAATAATTTTTCAACTGTTGATCTCCACTGTTTGTGCAATACTTTGAGGGCTAATGAGTATGTATGAAATAAAATAAAATAATAATAATAATAATAATAATAGCCATGAATAAAAACAAAAATTTAAAAATAAATCAAGAGTGAGAAACGATATTACAGTATGTTTGTTGTGTTGTCAACAGTAAGAGAAACAATTGATGACCCTGCAATTGTGTGTAAATGAGGCAGAAAGTCAGATCAGCAACCTGGGACTTGGTCACAATTTTTGTGATGCCATATTGCAGTAGGGTCTACCATTTGATAACACATTATGCTACCTATATCTTCCCAATATCACATACAATTAAAGTTATTTTGATAATTAATTAAATCCTTTCAATAACCATTATTCAACTGTGAAATCAGAACCCAAAATGGCAGTTAAGTAATGTTGATGATAGATGTTTATTCAGTGTATGTGGTACAGTACATACACACCTACATGTATTTACTGTTGAATTTACATTAGCTAATTTTCTTAGTAAAACGTTCTACTGATCAAAGTAAGTTTTTATTCCCATGAGGAAACTCTTTTCTTATACTTTAGCAGTAGAGTCCAAAGCATATTTAAGTATGGCTAGTCCTTCTAGATAGAATAGGGAAACATAAAAATGGTATTTATTGTATATTTTAAGGGTTCTCTCCACTCTCCTGTCATCTCCGTATTGGTTCTTGTGCACAGAATTTCATGTTAAATCTCATGTTGACATTCTAGGTCACACTACCACCCCAATCACTTTTTTAAGCAGGGATATACAGTAAACTGTACATGTGAGTTATGTTAAATATAAGAAGGCTTGAGTTTTGAGTGTTGATTGCAGTAAATATGTTTTAAGCAAAAAAACATTATTGAAGTACAGTACGTACAATATAAGATCCCATTTAAATATGTGCTAGGTTATGTAAAAAAAAAGTGTCATATAAACGTCATTGTGGTGTAACAAAATTAAATAATGTACCTTAACTGTTGAAAAGCCATTAAATTTAGTGACACAATAGCTAAAATGGCAACTCAGTTTTACGGGACTTATGCAGAAAGAAATCTCGTCCCGTTTCATTCATGAAATATACCTGACATCACTGCAAATTGTAATGGAGAGAGGCAGCACTAAAATGGAGTGTTAATAGCAGGCTGCAATTTAGCTCTCACCAGGAATGAGTGACAATCTTAAATACTTAATGCTTCTATACTTTACCCTAATTTATATGCAGTATTAACATGTAGTGTTGTATTTTAGTTCCTAAACACCAAAGGGTTTTGTTTAAAGTTTGCTTCAGTAACTGCAATGTGGCCCTAAATGAAAAAAGAAAGTTGGATACACCTGCTTTAAAGCATTCTGCTTCTCTTTTCTTTGATTTTCAGGATCCATCTTCTATTCCTTGTTTTACTCAAGAGATTCTGCATATTCCTTCCTTCATTGCAATCATCCTTGTAAGGAATTATTTATAAGGAGGGGCTGCCATGTAAAGCATAATCTACTGTTTCCATTTACTCATTTCAAACAGTTCAAAACTTGGAGGTAAAATTCTTGGTTAAAAGATGTAGAATATCCTCCTAAGGGGTTTTAAGGCTTCACGGATTCTTCTTCTTTTGTAATACCTTGTAATGTTGTTTCCAAGACTGGTAAATGTTATAGTGAACTAAGTGTCTGTTTTTTCCTCTCATTCAATATTTTCTTTGTCATTTTCTGGTTCTTTCTCGAGACTTTCACAGAAGACGGATAAGATTTCATTAAGTGCAGAGTTCTAGAACCAACTCTCCATGTAAGATTTGTACAACAGATGTTGTCTGTTGAGTAGAATGCTAAATTAGCTATATTCAGACTATGGTTTTGAAGTAAACTTTGTCTCCAGAGTGATTCCAAGGACAATTTCTTATCTGTGCTTTTCAACTTAAAAGGTTATCTTTCAACACTTTTCATCTTATAACATCCTCATTATCAACAACTGCATTACCATAATTATTTCTACCCTGCTGCTCACCAACTAATCCTTGTTTCTATCCACAGTTGACCATGCTATTCTGTATACCTTACATCTTGCATCTGCACTGTTTAGCATATCTGCAAATTCATCCTTGTAAACCTCTCTTTTTGGCCCTGCACTTGGCCTCCAGGTACTTTTCCTTGTCACCACCCCTCTTCCAGGCCTTATACAATCTTCTTTCCTCCTTTATTGCTCTGTACACTTCACCATTCATCCACCATGTAGTGCATGGTTGGCTGGGTCCATTATCTAGTCACATACCTTGTCAGCTACACTTGAAGAAATTATATACACTACAGTAATTTGGCCTGGCATCTTACTACACTGCCCCTCATGCTGTTTGTTGTAAAAATATTTGAAATGCATAAGGCAGGAAGTGATGATTCTGGCACAAGTGTTTGACTAGTAAGTGTTGAAATTTACTATGCTGCCCTACAAAAGCAGTGGACAGGCATTTTGGTGTGAACAAATCCACTGTTTCATTACCCAAATAAAAATGATAAAGCCATCAGAGAAACAGTCATTGCATGTGACCCATGACTGCCAAAGATATTGTAACTGTGCATAGCAAAAACACTGGAATTGGAAAAAGTTTCAAATTTGTGGATTGAAGACCATACTCAAGGGAAAATTCTCTTAAGTGGTTCAATCATCCATAAAAAAGCATCACTTCATTATCATAAATGAATAAGAAATATACTGTTCTATATCTTATGATCTTGAACATTTACCATTTCTCACCATTGTTCACATTTTCTAGGAACACAATGATCATAAAGGGACTTGGAATTATGACAGCCACAGATGCGAGTAATGGTGTGAAAATTTTCATGAATTTATTTTTTAAATCTTATGCTGCGAGCTTTACAAAAAAATTCAACAAGCTATTTTTTTTTTATTTAGAAAAGATATTTTTAATCTAAGTTTTAACACGAAATGTGGCATCTGCATGGTAGTGCCAACTGGCTTACCAACCATTAGCACCTCAACAGCTGCCAAACATAGATGTGTGTTCTTAACCTCTGTGTTCATTTTGATCTTGGAACTTAACATTCCCTTTTCCATTAAACTTAGGTACCTGAACAGTATCAACAGTATCAGCATTTACAAGGTTTCCAGGATTGTGACTGTCTAGCACTGTACTGTATTTCAAAACTAGTTTAATTTTGAGTGACAAGTATATTCTAATATTTTCTGGATGTTGCAGTTTGAATCACCCAGATACATGTCCACACAATGGGGATCGTCGCTCAGATTGTGACTGCACTCAAAACGATAGCAGTCACTCAGGCTACACTTCCTTCAGCAGAATCAGACTCAACACCACATCTTTAATTGTTGATAGTAAGAATCTGCTTCATTTTTATTGACTGGTTAATGATTACAGAATACTTGTATGGGATATGGTTATACTATATGCAAATATTAATATGGCATAGGTAAAAATTTATGCTGCAATTGAAAATTTCCTCATATACTGTATATCATTATGAGTCGTGTACAGTAGGTTGAGTATACAGTAGAATGCCTTTCATTCCTTAGGTAATTTAAGGGACAGCTAAAAATCAATAAATCAAGACTAAGAGTTGAAGAGCTGGATATCCTGTGAGGTGTCATTAGAGTTTGGAGGATTGATAATTTGAGCATTACAGATGTAAGAAGAATGCATGGGTTTGAGAAACCATTGAAGCTGAATGGAAAGAGTACATTAAGGTCGCTTAGGCATTTGGGAGTGCATGGCAGGTGGGAGACTGATAAGATAGATTAATGAAAGAATTGTTAGAGGTGTAAAAGAGAAAGGGGAAGGCCAAGAAAAAGATGGACAGACTATATAGTAAAAGCAAATTGGTGAGGTTAAGTGGTGAAACATTTTTCAATGTTAACAGACTGATTGTGGATCATTTATATTGAACATAGTTTAGAATTGACAGGAAGTTTTTCATTAGTTTTCTTTTAATAATTTGTTTTTAATTTTTTTGTATACAGTATATATATATATATATATATATATATATATATATATATATATATATATATATATATATATATATATATATATATATATATATATATATATATATATATATATATATATATATATATCTATATATATATCTATATATATATATATATATATATACGCTATATATGAGGTAGTTCTATAACATAGCATTATAGATAAATATAAGTGTTATGAAATAAATAACAGGGAGAAATAGTCATTTATAAACGAAAAAATTTAAGAGCCAACACAAGGATACAGTCTAAATAAATGTTACATTCATATCTAATAATGAAATCATACAGTAAATTTAACACTTTACCTTGAAAAAATATGAATGTAACTTGATGGGGAAAGGTGATTTTAGAGGTTGATAACATCAAGCTTCTTCAAGTGTTATATCCTTTCTTTTTACGATAATCACCGAATTCTATCATCAGAATGCTTTTTGAGATATTCTTCTTTACCATATTCACATTAATACCACAAAATTGGAGAAATAGTAAAGCAAAAATGTTATAGCAAACAAGATACAAGCTATACAAATCATATGTTCAATTATTAAATACAGAGCAATTAAGTATCAAAATATAATAGACTCACTGTGTATATATATATATATATATATATATATATATATATATATATATATATATATATATATATATATATATATATATATATATATATAATAATATATATATGTATTTTATATATATGTATATATATATGTATATATTATATATATATATATATATATATATATATATATATATATATATATATATATATATATACACACATACAGTGACTTTAACTGAACACCGGTTACGTAATTTCGATTAACTAACTGCCTTCCATAGGATCTTCAGTGGTTAATGAAAAAAATGGTTAACAAGTTCTTCCGAACCGACCTCAACATGTTTCGCTTGCACTGACCCGGCAACCAGCTTTAGTATCAGTCCGCCAATACATTAATCGGTTCTAGGCTCAAATTCCTTACTATTTTAGTAAATATCAAGAAGTTTATACTATTCAATAATCTTAAAAGTTTAATATTCAATTTTTTAGTCATTTTAACAATTATTGAACATAATTGAAGTAAAGTGACTAGTTTAATGGCGGCATCCAGCCTCTTAACACAGCAAACAGGAGTTAGTCTCTCTCTGTTTTCACTGGAGTAACATCTTGCTTGAGACTCTCTTCAACTAAACGCTTTTTCTGTGTTTCCAAGCAAATTATTGGTCATTTGAAATATAACATATTGACAATATATAATGCAGTGCAGTGTTGATTTAAAAATAATCTTGAATTACACCAAGAGAGCTAAATTTTATGGGTGAAATGGGCATGGGCGACTTCTCTTCCACCCAATGCCTTCTCTTCTTCCTTCTCCTCCACCCCATTCTAAATCCCATCATCATCATCATCATCCAGAGCCTTCTACATACACACCTCAAAGTAAGTAAACTTTTCTACCATTTTGTTGAATTTAGGAAATTTTCCGTGAGCTGGAACCAATTCCAAAAACCCATTGAAACAGGCGGTGCCCTGCGGAACCAGGATGCTCACATTCAGTGCTGTGTACCCCTTCCTGAGCGGCTGGAGTTCCAGCGCCATTTTTGATCCAAACCTCCCGCCATCCGCCATGTTGTGCGTAAGCGCGCCAACATAGTGTGCGCCTAAGTCGCCAGTCATCAAAAACATTACCAGTTCTTCACCCGCCACCCACCACAGCCGCCCAAGTCAGTGATAGTGATAATTATGGTGAGGATATGGACTTATATGGACTTTGGGAGTTTGACAAAGAGGCCCTGCAAGCCTCTGTGGTGGATAAGTGATACAATTGATACAGTGACAACAGGTGAGGGCCAATAATCTGCCCTCTGCCCGGAACCAACGCCCATCGTGTGCTCCAGCCATTTTCTACTAATGTAAGTGTTAAAAACCTAATATTATTGATATTTTCTTAATTATTAATTGTGTGTTGCCTCCATCATAAAGTTAAGATAATATTTTTACTACAACATAGTTGTGTGGCCAGAAAGTGGAGTTTGGTCGGCCCGACTCCATTTCAATTAATCCCATATGTTATGTTATTCACTTTACGCGTTTCTCACTGCGGGACCCTCCGGTTACATTAACCAAAAGTGAGGTTAACTGTATATATATATATATATATATATATATATATATATATATATATATATATATATATATATATATATATATATATATATATATATATATATATATATATATATATATATATATATATATATATATATATATATATATATATATATATATATATATGCAAGGTGAGCATGTGTGTATTCACAAGCAAGTATGTGTGAATAGTTTACAGACTCCAAAGTAAATTCAATAGTGATTGAGTATAGGTGGTCATCTGTATCTCTTTCTTTAGATTTTTTACATTGTACATTATTCAAAGTAATGATTAACAAAAGTACAGGGTACAAGATCTACTGCTGATGAGATGTTAATTAATTTTTTTGTCCCTCAGCATATGATTTTACCTTTGCTCGAGCTGTGGATGGCCATTTAGTACGGTATGGAGAGGCTGGTGACTGCTTTAGCATGGCAATGTGTCCTCAGGGAGCCTTCTCTATCAATCTGGCTGGTACAGCCTTAGCAGTCTCTCCTCGCACCAACTGGATAACCAGAGGCACCAACGCAGCACATTATATAAATCGACTAGATGTAAGTAACTGCATCACTTGTATAATAACTTTGCTAAATAATGTATTTAGCCCTGTTTATGCTTAAGATCCTAAGGTTAGAAACATTTTTACTTCAAGTCTCTATCCAATTATAGTGTTAGATATGCCTTTTAGTTTTGAAAATTAAATACTATAGTACAATATATTTTTTCAAGGAACAATGATGTTAGACACTATTAAATGAGTTATTATTTACTTAGAGTTTTGATATCATAAGAGTGGTAAAAGTGTGTTGTAGAAAAATCAGTGGTTCTTAACCTTTTGGGAGCTTGTTCCCCCTGATCCCCAAAGACAAAAAAATAAGTAAAAAAAATATATAGTTACAGTTTCACCAATTTTATTGCCTTTCTGGACCCAAATAAACAAATTGGTTGAATTAGCAGGGGTCAGGGTGACTGGGAAATGAGTTGACTGGGAAATGAGTTTACTGGGAAATGAGTTGACTGGGGAATGAGTTGACCATTGACCAGGGGAAGAGTTAACCAGGGGTTGAGTTAACAGAGGTTGGGTTGTCAGGGGGTTGAGTTCACTGGGGTTGGATTGACCAACTACCATATATATCTGGCAGAGTTGTAAAGTAACTCAATAAATTTACTTGAGTACTGTACTCAAGTAACATTTCTGGGTGTTTACTTTTTAAAATGTTATCAAATTTTTTTAGTATTTGTGCTTTTACTTAAGTATGGTTTCTAAAACTTTTACTCTAATACAACTGAAAAACAAAAATCGTTACTTGTTACATGCACACTAATAATTTATTTTTTAATTAATTGATTATTAACCAGAGTAAAAGAGTTATGTAGGTGGAGTCATGAAGGGTAAAGTGTGGGGAGACACCACACAGTCACATACCTAGAGGTCTCATGAGGTGAGGTGACGTCAGGTCAGGTCGGGTAGCAGTGGCCGTGACAGCGGACTTTTCCTCTGATCTTCACGTGTCCATTAGCACCTTGACCACCCACCTCACCTAGCCTACCCTCTTATTCCCCCCTCCCCCTCCCTCATCGAATCTCTTCTCTTCTCCCCCACCTTTTCTTCAGGGGGTTTTGTCTTCCACTTAGATGTCAGAGGCTGTGATTCTAAAATGCTTTACCTAATTCTGTCTTAGATATAAGGCATGTATCTATACATACGTGTGAGACTGAGTGCATTTAAAATTCTGCTTAAATAACTAAGTACCACTGCCCCCTCCCCCACCCCCTCAGCCTCTGCCAGTTGTTACAAAAAGTGACGTCACCACACCCACACACCAATTAGAGGGACAGTTCATGTTGATAACTACTTGGTATGCCTAAGGGATGGAATGGAGCTACTGAGGTCTAATCCGACATTATGTGACTTATCTCTCAAGCTTAACATCCCGCTACCAGCATCTGCTGCTTGTGAGCATCTGTTTAGTCATGCTGGGCTTTTTTTTTATTATAGATAATTTATTACACCCCAGGGGGCGACAAGCCTAGTCACAAGGCCATGCGGTCAGACACTAATACATTGGTACTCGTGTCTCACTATGACTTGTGGCATGGAGACAATATTGATATGATTTAAGGAAAATGGTAGTTAGCACCCAGCAAAGCGTTGGTAGCTTACAAGAACTAAATCTAAATTATTACGAATAAGTAGGAGGTGACTGACTCGTCCTGTGGTATGATGTCCCTGACAGTGGGTCAGTCAAGGCAATAGTGTTGAAGAGTTTTAGTATTGGGACAGTTACAGGGTTTACAGGAAGAGAAATGTGGCTCATACCCCACCTCAGATACTTGGCAGATAGACCTGTATCCTATCCTAATGCGAGCAGACACCGCATTATATCTGTGGACCATAAATCCACGTCGACAATACTTGTGTGGATAAGGAAGAAAGTGATCATAGTGTTGGATGGATATATTTTCAGTCCATTCACTAACCCTGCAATGGATTATAGGGAGAAGGGCAGTGAATGTGTTCTCTTTTGGTTAGGTCATGCTGGGCTTATATTTAGGCCTAAATGATTCTGATTGGTTGGCCATATTTTCGAGAATCAGTTTTTTATTGATCTCAATAGAAAGATTTGCAAACAAACATGTGTCTTTTATTTGTATTTTTAGTTAGTTTTTTTTAATTGAGACAATTAATAATTTTGTTACTTTTTACTTTCAGTTCTTGAGTTCTTTATGAATGAGATACTTTTTTACTTCTACTTGAGTACATTGAACTTTGGATACTTTTACTTCTACTTGAGTAACATTTTGCCAGTGTAACAATACCCGGTATTTTTACCTAAGTAACAAAGTCCGATATTTATTACAGTTCTGATATTTGGCTATTCTGAAAGTTCTTAAATAAATTGGAAACCCTCATGCTACGGTAACACTGTCCTAGCTCAGTCAAATGGAACTGCAGCTCTGATAAGCGTTCAAACACTGGCATTGTTTTTGCATCTTATTTTTCATTTTGATGTTAGTCTTTCTATTACTACTTCTTTATCTGAAAATTTAATATTATCCTCATGGGGGACCACTGAAATAGAATGAAATTTCTATCACTATGACTCGTAACTGTGATATTTTAGTAAGTTATTTCATTTAATATCTCTTATTGTTATATAAGTCACCAGTGTGACAATCATAAACAACTAACTCACTGTATCATACACCTCCCTTCTCTTATCTCAGTTATCCTCAGCTCAATGAACTTTGTTTCTTAATCAAGCTAATTTCATTGTAGAGCACTTATATTTTGAGGGATCACCAAGTTCTCTATTTGTTGCCAGTCAGGGTACACAGACATCACCACTTCAACTAATCATGTTTGAGCGATGATGCCTGAGTGAGCATCAAATCAACGGGAAGGGTTGACAGTGCTGAGCTGCCATAGCGCTCCATTAGCTAACATCGTTCACCATTACTCTAACAAGATGTATTGGGCTGAGAATTCCACCCTGAATGGTTCTCATTTAACCCATACTTAGGATACTAGGTTCATCCCAACATAACTCTAGATTGCTAGTAAGACCGGTCGGTCAGCGTCTGGAAGGATCACTAAGACTAGCAGCCTCGGTAAAGTTCGCTTGGATAGGCTAAACCTGCTACTGAGAATATTAATAAAATAGAGCTATGAAGAATTAACTCTGGCCTGCATGCTGAGAGTAATCAGAAAACCCAAGGCGGAAGCCCGAAAAGTCTTGTGAACGAACATGAGAAGAGGGAGAGGGATGGCCACACATATCATGGTATTCATTTATTTGCACGTTTATAATTGGGACATTTTTATACAGTATATATATATATATATATATATATATATATATATATATATATATATGTATGTATGTATGTATGTATGTATGTATATATATATATATATATATATATATATATATATATATATATATATATATATATATATATATATATATATATATATATATATATATATATATACATATATATATATATACACACATATATATATATATATACATATATATATATATACATATATATATATATATATATACATATACACATACATATACATACATATATATATATACACGGTGAACTCTCACTTTTAATTCAATCCACGTCTGCAGATAAAGTGAACAACATAACATATGGGATTAATTGAAATAGAGACCGGCCGACCCCAAACTCCACTTTTTCCTTTATCACCAAGACGTTTTACTAACTCTTAACTTTTATGATGGTATTCACCCACACATAATATAGAAGGGAACTGATCAATAAGAAGAATAAACTAGAAGGTTAGGTTAGAAAAAAAATATAAGGCTAGGGGTTAACACTTACGTTAGTAAGAAGAGATGGTCGTGTGGGGAATGGAGGCTAGTTCTGAGGCAGAGGGCAGGCTATGGCCCTCAGGTGGTCTTCATCGTTGATATCCACACTTACTAGTGCCTCCCCGATAAATCCCCCTCAAAGTCATCATCACTGTCTCTCTACCTCTGTCACTATCTCTGGCTTGGGCGGCTGGCTGTGTGGTGGGTTGCGGTGAAACTCTGTTATGCTTTGTTGTGGCTGGTGTTTATGTTCGTAGTGATAAGCCTTGATGTAGGGCTCCATAGTCTGCAACAGCTGGGTAATTGAAGATTTCATACCTGTTTAAATCCGGATCGTCGGAAAAGGAGGAGCTTGGCTTTCTCAGTACTTGATGTACTAACATTACTATGGGATAAGCAGGGGATTCTTCTTACAGGATGTGCCACCACCTGCCTCTTCACTGGCACGTCATTATCATCACCATGTCGTCGGTAGTCACATCAGGATCCCTTATCTACCTCCAGGATAATAAATGGTTGGTGGTCACCGAGGAGAAGCCTGCAGCTGTAATGACTTACTCTCTTGCAGCTTCTAGCAAGGTCCACTACTACTGCAACAGTCTGAACCTCACCAGTCACAGATTTACTCTGCCTAACGCCAGATGCCTTGCAACACATGTCTCCTGCGTGGCGAACAGTTGCTACAGACAGCTGATCCCATGCCTCCACCAAGAAGTCACAACTTTCTTGGCGTTGAATGTTCTCAGAATTGTTTTAAAGTACTTCTTGCTCTACCAACTGTTGATCCTCGTTGTCTTAAGCTCTTGCTTCTCCGGTGTTGGTGTCACTCTGGATTTGCATAACTCTTCATGGTGTTGGTGAGAGTCGTTCAGGAGCTTAATTTTTAGTAGAGAATGCAGCTTTTACATTACAGATTAACTCTTGGTCCATGGGCTGTAATATAGACGCAGTGTTGGGAGGAAAGGAAGACCACTTTTACGTTGGGTGACGATCTTAACAGTAGGCGAGTGTCTGGTCGTTGTCCAGCAGCAACAAAATCTTGAATGGCATTCTGTTGCTCTGAAATTTCTTCGCCGGGGAACAGAAACAGTCGTCAAACCAGGAGAGGACACAGTGTAGAGAATATCTCGCTTATGTGCGGTCAGCCAGTGGACATTTAGCTTGGTCGCCTATCATGCTCTTGTAGGCGTGCGACTTAGCGT